ATGACAACAACTAATCACATAATAGCTCTTTAATTCTACTATTTATTTTTAAAATAATTGTTATATATTTCAATTTTTCTATTTATTTTTAAAATTTTTGATGTAACATATCAAATTTGGACAATAAACATTTCTCGATAACAAAAAAACTATTTTTTTCTTTTTCTTTATAAATTTCATCTGTTTTTGTTTTCAATTTTTAAATAAAAAATTGAAAAATATGTTTATTTATTAAAAAAATAATATCTCTATTCAAAAAATAAGAATACGTTAAGATTATATCTATTTTTTTTATAAAAATTCAAAATCATAGAATATTAATTTTATTTGATTCAAATTAAAAATCATTATGAAAGAAATTATATCGTTAGCTAAAACAAATTACATTAGATTTATAATAAAATTTAAATTTATAAAAATATGAGAATATAAAAAATAATAATTTTAATATTTCAAATTACTAAAAAGTGTTTTGTGTATAAAATAGAGAATTATAATGTTTAAGTTTTTTTATTTGAAAAACATTGAAACATTTATATTAGAAAATAGTGAAGAATCTTTAATTTTTTTTAAACTCGGTATAAATTTGAAAAACTAAAAAACTTTGTTTTGGTTTCTTGAATTTTATTTTTTAATAAAATATTACCTTGTTTATGAACAGTTGTAATATTTCTTTTCTTTTTCTCCCAAATTTTTGGGCAAGTACTTGCGCATCGTATTGGCTGGCCTGCTAATGCACTGTGATTGGGTATGGTCTCATCCATAGAACCTAGAATATGGATAAGGTGATAAGCCTACGTGGCAAAAACCCAGTCCCCTCCTCACAACTCCTCGGTAGAAAACAGAGACTCCCTATGCTCGCTCCTCTTCCCTCCCTTCCACCAAAAAACTCCATGGCTTCACCAACACTCCTAACCCCAACCTCCAGACTCAAACCCCTCTCTCCCATCAAACCCAAACCCACTCCCACCACCGCACTCCCACCGCCGACACCACCACAGCAACAAATCCGAAATCACCTTCTCCGCCGCCACTTCTTGTCCTCGGCAACCGGCATTCTGACTTCCCCGCTGATCCTCCCAGTCACTCCAGCTTTTGCAGCATCGGATGAAGAGTACGTGAAAGACACAGAAGAAGTGATCGACAAGGTCAGGACCACCATGAACATGGACAAGAGCGATCCTAACGTGGCCGATGCAGTTGCTGTTCTAAGAGAAACTTCCAACTCTTGGGTGGCTAAGTATAGAAGAGAGAAAGCTTTACTCGGTCGTGCCTCTTTTCGTGATATTTACTCGGCTTTGAATGCTGTTACGGGGCATTACATCAGCTTTGGGCCGACAGCTCCCATCCCATCCAAGCGGAAGGCCAGAATTCTCGAAGAGATGGACACTGCAGAGAAAGCATTGTTAAGGGGAAGATAAATTAATTTAGATTTTGCTTTTTGGGTTTTTATTTTGCTCCTATCTGAATTTTAATTACTTTATATTTGCTTGAGATCACATGACGAGAGCAAAGATTCGTGATCTTCTTCTTCTCTTCATAATTTCTTTTTTTGACAGATGCGCTCACCGATAATTACTGCTCACTATGAAGCTTCACGAACTGCAGATTAATTTCATTTTATCTTTTATCAATTACCTCTATGAGGTGATTAATCTTATTATACTTCATATATAAAAAATAAATGAAATGTTAGAAGAGTAAACTTTTTAATTAATTTTGATAAATTACAATATATTTTTAGAGATAAAATAAAATTAACCCATAATCTATTTGAAAAAAACAGAGAAAGGGAAATTTTTATTAAGAACATTTTTTAACAATCGGTCATTGTATAATTCAAATTATCATATCTGTATATTTCACGCTGTCTATTTGATTACATTTTTGTGTTATAAAATGTTCTTAAAATTATTTTTTATTTTAAAAAATATCATATTAAACAATTTTGATGTGATAATATTAAAAATATTATTTTAATATATTTAATTTGATTATTTTCTTATTCTTAAAAAGAAAATCGAATTAGAAGTAGCCGGGAAGAACAGAAGAGGTGTGTTCGAAATGTGTGGCCTAATGATCGGTTTTCCGATAGGGTGAAAGACTGGGAATGGGCTGGATGATGATGAGATGGTCAAAGTTCATCTCATTTTCAAATCATTACCGTTTAAATTTAACTTATTTATAGATGCAGCTTGTAATATTCATTAAAAAAATAGTTTTTATAAAATATTAATTCCTAAAAAATTAGTTTTTTATTTTATTTTTAACGGTGTTATGAAAACAATTTAAAAATATTTTTTATTATAAAAAATAAACAGAAAAATAATTTAGTTTTTTCTTTAAATTTATTAAAAGATTCATGATTAAAATAAAGAAAATGAATAAATTAAATTAAATTTATAAATTATTTAAAATAAAAAAAAATTAATTTTAACGAAGAAGTAATTACTGTGGGGGATGCTAACAACACATGGATAGACAATTGTTAAAGAACGTTTTTTATTGTTAAAAATAATTTTTAAAACTTAAAAAAATATTATTTTTATATTTTTTAAAATAAAAAAATACTTTTTAAAATAACCATAATTACACTACTACTAGTAATACAACAGTCCTGTAATAACCCTGACTTTCAAAGTGGAAACTGGGAACTGATAATTTCTGCAAACTCCCTGTCTCTCTAACATTAACATGAAATTAAGAATCTGCATCTCTTGAATGTTGTTTGTAGGCTGGGATATTGATTTACTTTACATCAGATTTTCCCCATTCTCTTCAACTCCTCATATAAGAAGTTTGATTTTCATCCAAAACCCTCACAGAATCCATGAATTTACACCAATTATAAGCTCAGATCTAATAGTTTCAATTTGTTATATGACTATCTTATTTTAATTCAATTATAAAAATTGGATGATAAAAGTAGAACCCCCTTCTTGTAAACAAGAAGATTACTCTACCATGTTTTAGAAAGAAAAAAAGTACGGTTTAATAACCTAGGTAGAAGGTGGTTTGAAATTACAGTTATAATTATTTTTTAAAATATTTTTATATTAATATATATTAAAATAATATTTTTTTTTAATTTTTTAAAATTATCGCATTAAGATGATCCAAAACATATAAAAAAATTACTTTTTAATAAAAATTTTAAATTTTTAAAAATAAATTATTTTATCATTTTATAAATTTAAAATTTAATTTAATTTGCATTTTAAAATACTGTTTGAAAATGAATATGATATGATATGATGAACTAATAACTCATAATCAGTGAAATCTGACATAATTTTTAATTTTTTCTTAAACGATATTATTTTAATTTTTAAAAAAGTTAATTTAACATCGGTTTGATTAAACTTTGAGCCGGGTGATGGGCCTGACCGGTTTCATTATTTTGAAAAAAAGTCCAGGGCAAGGGTCAATACTGTAATTCAAAACTAGAAATAGGGTTTAACGCCCTAATATAAAAACGTATTCTGCTACTGCCCCGACTTCTTTTATTTCCCTTCTCACGGAACCTCCTTCGCATCTCGCCGGCAAGGTAACGCTCTCTCTTACGCTAGCTTTCTCTTTGAGACATTTTTTTCAATATATGGACATTTTTTTCATTATTTTGGGATCTGAATTGTCTTTATTTTTCTTATACAGCTTAAGACTAATTTAAGTCTCCAGATTTAAAAAGAATCATCATCATGTCAGGGTATGCTTTTTCTATGATTTCTTTAAAGAAAGTTCAATGACAAAGGGTTTTGGGTTTTTGGCATGTTATAGTCTTTGCGGAATCCGAATCACTATTTTTCAATCTGTTGCATTTATTTTCAGTGAAGAAGGTGCTGTTCCTCAGAATGAGACTCCAGCTGTTGCTGATGCACCTCTCGGTGAGCCAATGGACTTGATGACAGCATTGCAGCTTGTTCTGAGAAAATCACTTGCTCATGGTGGGCTTTCTCGAGGGCTTCATGAAGGGGCCAAAATGATTGAGAAGCATACTGCTCAACTTTGTGTCTTGGCCGAGGATTGTAACCAACCTGACTATGTCAAACTTGTTAAGGCACTTTGTGCTGACCACAAAGTGAACTTGCTGTCTGTTCCAAGTGCGAAGACCCTGGGAGAGTGGGCTGGTGTGAGTATCTCTTCCGCTTCCTGTTTTTAATCTTGCATCTCTTTTGATTAGCTAACATGTCTGCAAACTCTGTATTGAGATTACTGCTCTTAATGTTAGTTTTTACTACTTGAAGTCATAGTTGTAATAGTTCAACTCGAGAATAGAAATCACTATCTGAAACGTTAGGGATGAAAATGTAAGTTTCTTACAAAGAGGGGGTTAAAATCGAGGAAAGGGAAACATTAATGGCATGTGTGATTACTGTCTGAAATTAAAGGGTCAGATGGTAGATTGTACATGCTCTTTTGTGTGCTCTTTTATGTTTATTCAATTAGCTTCATTTGGAGCTCTAAAGAAACAGTATTTGCTTTGTTGGTTTGTTTAATTTTAATGCGGTGAAGTCCATATTATTTTAATGCTTTGTAGAATGTTCTTTAATACTTCAAACTTGTTTCTAGATTTGTTGATAATGGTCTTCAAATTGTAGATCCCCTTAGGTTTCAACTCAATAAAAATTGTGCCATGGTCTCTTAGGTTGAATGTCATTTGGATTGATGGGTCATTTTTCTTTCTCTTGTGAAAATTTGCAATGTTTCTCCTTGTATAGTAGTTAGTGATTTATCTAATATGGGCTCTTGGTATCCAGTTGTGCAAGATTGATTCAGAGGGGAAGGCCAGGAAAGTAGTTGGTTGCTCTTGCGTTGTTGTGAAGGTAGTAAAAATCAGTTTTGGAGTGCTGCATCTCATTTTTATTTAATTGATTGTCTTTCGAAAGGGATTCATCATATTCTTTTGCTGACTGGTTTGCAGGATTTTGGAGAGGACAGTGAAGCTCTTAATGTTGTCCAACAGCATATCAAAGCTAACTAAGTCATTATGGATTTGATCCTTTTGGATTTTCCCGGAGTCCTTTAAGGAAATTGAGTGTATTTTGTTTTTCTTTATTGTTGTAGTTGAAACATCATCTATTTGCAGTATATCAAAAAATATTATGATGTTTTTCTCGGTCGCAATATTTTCAGCTTCTACTTGGTTAAGTGTGAATTGTACTAGAGAGGCCAAGTTTTTACTTAGAATGGGATGCTAAATGTCTAGAGTGACAGAATTAGAGCGCTTCTTCGTTCATTTTTCTAAATGATACTGTAGTGGGATATTAATTGTCTTTATTGATTTCAACAGGCAATGTTTACGCCCAGGATTTTCTAACCTGAGGAATCCTGTGAATTGTCCGCCTCTGGTTTCCATGCTTATTGTTAATGTTAGTTTTGACTGGTTGAATTTAGGTTATAACTGGATGAAACTTGAGTTGTCACCTGCAAGAGGTGAAAAGCAGATAAATATAAAACAAAATGTGTCAATAATGTCTTTGTTTTTGTTTTAATCTGAGTTCATTAAAAGTGGCTCCAGTATGGGAGAAAAAGGAGGCAAAGCCCACTGGAAACCCAAAAGATAACTGTACAAGGAGCCTGGAACTAGACACCGTGTCAATAAAGGGTTGACTTTCTACAAAATGTGTACATAGTTAAAGATGATGATTCTCGACTTCCTGCTGGAAGCTTGATAGGTTCTGCCCCCCCTGATAGTCAACCTCCAGCTTGATGCTGTTATATCCAGTGGAACATTGTTTTGCTCAGGTGGGGTTTTTTGATTTCAGTGTATGACTTTATTCATAAATGAACTTGTATTGCTATGTGGAATGCATGTCTTTCTATCCTTGTAACATTTTTGGCGTTGATACTGATGTTTGTGCAGATGGTAGATAACCTCAGGTTTTTGCTGTCAGAGGATTAACATGGATAGCAAATATAGAGCGGCATCGATGAGAAGCAAGGAGTAGCTGAAGTAGATTGCAACTACAACCACGGAACTGAGCATGGTTAAGCAAGACAAACAACTCAAGAAATCAACAAAATATTCTATTCTAAAAAACTAGAAACTAAATGAGATTTGCTTCTCTTTACAAGCGAAGCACAACTCCTTTTTATAAGAACCGAACTGATCTCCCTTGAACCAACGAATGAATTCCTTCGCTCAGCTTAGAGAGCAACAGCTTATTGTGGATCGACTTCCAACTTGGGTTATACTCTCACGTCTCTAATGGAACGCAACATAGCACAACAGTTGCGAGGTTTATATCCTATGATGCCCAATTTGAATCAAGCTCTTTCAAATGATTGTTCATGGACTTGGAGAAAATTGCTAAAATTGAGAACTGTAATTTGGGATCAAATTGAGCATGTAGTGGGCAACGGAGAGCATATCTTTCTCTGGTGGGACCTTCGGTTAAAAAATATGGCCACATGATCTTTTTTGAGTCTGGGTTGCCTTCAACAACAAAGCTTTCACAGGTGGTGAATGGAAATGGCTTTTGCCAGATAAGATACTATGAAAGCTATTCAGCATGCTATGGGTGGTATTCTATATCGTACTTGTGTACAAAATGGTAGTGTCACTTGGAAGCTCACCATCGACGGGCAATTTCCAGTCAAAATTTCTTGGGATTAGATCAGGAAAAGGGGGAACAGAGTGGCTTGGTTTCAGTTGATCCGGAAGCCTCACATATTCCAAAACACAGCTTCATGTTTTGGCCAGCTATTTTGGACAGATTTAACTGCGAAGAGAAAGGAAGATTAAAATGGGAAGGGTCGTCAATCCTATTCGTGTCCTGTGTAAAGTAGATGGTGAAGATAGGAATCACCTCGTTTTCACGTGTATATTTTCTAAAAGAGTATGGCTGCAAATTCTTCAGTTTTGTCGAAGTGATTACACGGCTTCTGGTTGGAGTTCAGAATCTTGTAGGGCAATGCAGAGGGCACCATCATTCTGGCTCATCGAATGAAAGCAGTACTGTTAAGAATATGGTTCAAGCTGTCCAATTAAGGCTACAGGATACTAAATTTCTAGGAAGCAATTAGTAATCCAAAGATAACAAGATTTTTTGATCTTTGGAACTTCTGTAAAGCTTAGTTGTTTAAATTCTTTCATCGATAAAAATCAGGTAGGTCGTTCACCCTTTGCTCCCTTTTATTTGACCATCTGCCAAGCAAATAGAGAGAAGCAATTAAGACTATATCCAAACTTTTGGAGACTCTGGAAACTATTGAAGTCTATTAGGATAATCTTTCTAATGTTATTTTTAGGGGGCAAGTAATAATGAACCGCTTTGGTATAGCGAAGAAAAGAAAATCTCAAAATGATGTAATGAACTTGTATTCTGTTATACCTATTGCATCCATGCTTACCTCTTGAAACTTTGTACATCATACCACTTTCGAGTAAGTGTCACTTCATGGCACTTGCGATTGAATGTCAACCACAGACGACTTGACATCATAAACCTCCCATGGTGTCTTGAAAAGCAAGCATGTGAAATAGCAGCTAGTATATCATTTGACGGGGAACCCTGTAAGTCGTTGTGATGGTAAAGCAAGTGGATGCCACACCTTTTCACGACAATTCCAAAACCCATGTCAATCCAGACATCGAGTTGATCCCCTTCTTCCACCTCATCCTGAAATCTCCAGCTCATATCTACTATGCCTTTCTCTTTTATTTCATTCTCAAACAACCAACAGCTCAGCCACATCATATCCTGTTGGACTTCACATGGAAAGAAGGTGACTCGTGGGTCATACATCCAGTCAAAATTTCTTGTTCTGTTAATAACTGTAATGTTAGGGGATAAATAGCAGGATTCAAGGGAATCTTCCCATGCATAAACTACCGATATAAGAAATCCTGTTACTTTACAATCACGATCAAGTGCGGGCACTTGCAAGGATACTGTGTCTCCTTCATTCTGATGGCTGAACCATGCTGGAATATCCTTCACTGGTAAAAAGATGCTGTAAATAGATTTTTCACAAAGAGCCTGTTGCATTAGAACCATGGGATCAGTACATAAACAAGCCAAACAAACATATCTGTGTGTGCTAGCATCAGCATGTGAGCAGGCAGTCACATCAGAGGGAGAGATAAGAAACCTGTAGAGGGCTAATTATAGCAGTTCTTGTCAGATTATTAATTATATGCACTTCAACAGCTGGGAAAGGTTTTTCCGTGACCAAGCCACAAGTTCCCAGAATGTTTTCCACAACGTCCACTCCTAAGGGTTCCAAGTTGAAAAATCCCTGCACGCATTTTAAGTTTCGGCAACCATGCAATTTCAGCTCTCCTCCTCGCCAGAATTTCATGTTAATGTATTGCAGCCTAGGGCAATCATTTGCATGGAATGTTTCCAAGCTTGACTGAAGCTCTGGGATGCACTCCAGTCTTTTGCAGTTGTTTAGCCAAAGTTTTGTAAGCATAGGAAGGTTTCCAATGCTAGCTGGTAACCTTGTAAAGTTGTTCCCGCATAATTTCAAAGTTTGCAGAAGGAATAAGCCTCGAAAATCATGCGGAATCATGGAATCAGATAAGTTGCAGTGTCTGAGATCTAGTTCTTGTAAAGAAGTTGGGAAAATGTTCATTGTTTGTGGAAATTTTCTTGGGGAAAAGATAAGATGACAATCATGAAAAGACAATATTTTAAGTTTTTCTAGATTTCCAATGGTTTCTGGAATAGAACTTATTGCAGTTCCATCAGCAAGAAGAAAAACCAAGGATTTCAAACTCCCCAAATCTTCAGGCAATCCCTCAAGTTTCAAGCAACCTGACACATTTAGCTTCTTAAGTGAACTTAGAGCACAGATGCTCCCGGGAAGAGTTTTAAGGCTCTTGCAATTTTTGAAATTCAGAAAAAGAAGACGACCAAGAATTCCAATGGAGTCATGAACCTCTACCAAACTAACGCAATCTTTAAGTATCAATTTTTCAAGACAAGGTAAGCCTTCGAAGTTAGGAGTCTTGGTGAGCTCATGGGAGTGGCTAAGGTTGAGGAATTTCAGCTTTTTAAGAGACTGCGATAATAAAACATAATAAGATATGTGTAAGATGTTAAATGTTTACCCTTTTGAACTAAATAATATGCTTGTAGGAAAATTGAAAAGATATCATAAGCCACCTTTGTTTCCTCCGAAAACTGGTGTAGACTGCTATAGCGCATATCTAGAGCAATCAAAGTTTCCAAATAAAGATCAGGTGGTATTGATTTCAAAGGGAATTCGAGCCAGCACAGCCACCTTAATTTAGTGGAAATATATTCATAGCTTCCTTCAAGGCATATGCAATTGAGTTGCAGCAGTCGTAGCTTTTTCATCTTTTTGAATGCCTTGGTATTGATTTCAAAGGGAATTCGAGCCAGAATGCCTCGGTACTAAACGACTGTTTTAATCCTGGCAGGTTTAGAATGAGGCCTTCAACTGCTTTTGTACCCTGATTGAAGAAAAATATTGGCTAGTAAAACAAGAAACTAATGCATTCATGGATTTATTTTAAAGATGTGAAAACCTTTACCAATGATTCTCTTACCATTCGGTCGGTTATTACATCAATGACATCTTCTTGGCGCCACAGTCTGCTACGTTCCCCGGGATCTGTAGAAGACTCTTGGCGAACGATCTCTCTTCCCATGTCCCTGAGCAAATCATGCATCGATAACTTATTATCAGGTCCAACTTTTAAAAGGCACCTCCTCATGAGAGTATTAATTCCATCAGCAGGGAAGAAACCACAATCTTCAAGTATGCTCATGATGTAATCCTTGTTATATCCAATGAAGAAACATGCAATATCTAGAAATATAAATTTCTCAGTATCATCAAGAGAATCATAACTTATTTTAAGTTTGTTGTGGATGTCTCCGTTGCCAATCACTTTCAGCTTTTCCAACTTGCTATTCCATACATTGATGGATTGGCCGCACAAAGAAGAGCCCAAGACTTCAAGAGCTAGAGGAATTCCTCTAACATAAGATACAATTCTTCTCATGCAATCCATGTAATTATCAACGGGATGGTGTTCATTAAAGGCATGTAAACGTAGGAGCTGGAGAGAGTCATCGTTATTCAATTCCTTGACCTCGTATTGTAGATACAACTCTGATGGTTGTAGCAGATCCTTGATTCTAGTTGTTATTATCACCCTGCTTCCTGGAAAAAGCCATTCGAAATTTCCAATAATCTTATTCAGCTGTTCCAGTTCATCAATGTCATCCAGAACAATGAAAATGCGCTTCCGACGCAGCCTGTCTCTTATCACGTTCAATCCTCTACTAATGTTGTCTATCTTTTCATGTTTTCTTTTCAAGGTCTCCGAGAGAAGTTGCCTCTGTAAGTAGGCTATGCCCTTGGAAATTGATTCTTTTCTAACATTTTCAAGGAAGCAGCTACCTTCAAATTCATGGAAGACTAAATTGTAAACCTTCTTGGCAACAGTCGTTTTGCCTATACCCCCCATCCCATATATCCCAACTATACGGACATCTACTAGCTTTTCACCTAGCAATGAAATCACCTCTTTTGCACGAGAAAGCAAACCAACTGGGTGTGTAGTGACACTCAAGATTGTTCGGTCAAGTCTGTCTGAAATATCCTTAACAATATAGTCAATATTTTTTGCTTCGTGCCTGCAATTTTATGAATGAAGTGAATACCAAAAGTAGAGGATATAATGCATGTGCATCCAAAGTGTCCATAGAAACAGTACGAATAACAAAAGCACATGAACATGTATTGCAAGCAGGAGCAGCTAGCAAGGCGATAAATCCAAAGCATAATACACACATGACACGACATAGCAGCATAAACCAATAAGCTTAATTATAATATATCACTACATTTCGCTATGTGACAGAATTATATTATATTATATAACACATTAAAACCAGAACACTGTTCTGCAGCAGATTGGTTGCTTCCATCCTCACCCTTTGTGCATGCTGGACACGTGGACTTCTCAACTCGCAAGAACTAACATGCTATTGCTAAGCTTCCTTGCTAAAAGATTTGGGCGGGGGGAGGGACATAGAACCTGGAGAAAATCGGCTAGAGAGGGGGAGAGACGGCATGGGAAGGAGAGAGTGAACAGAGGTAGAAGTTTGATGAACCCAATTTTAATTTTTAACAAGAATGGGCCAAGGAACAAGAAAGAACAATGATGGGTGAAATACGAATAGTGAGGAGCAGGAATATAATTTTGTTGTAATAAATATATATTATGTAATTAATTCCTAAAGTTTAAATTCAATGAGTTTTTTCCAACACAAAGTAAAAGTACTTGTGGTAATTTCAAAACAGAATGATTGATCAATGTAATTGCATGAAATCTCAAGTGATTAGTGCAAGTCAATGTTTTCATTTTTGTAAGAGATCAACAATGGCATCTTATAGTTGATAGCTACTTACCCATCCCAATGTTTTTGTAGATCCAGGCCCTTGAGGCAAGCAACTTCTCTGAGAGCATCCTTCCATTTCTGCACTTTATCCATGTCATCCTTGAAACGCTTTTCATGTTCAGCAAAAGCTTCTTCAAAACTCCCTTTCAGCTCTTCAACGTCAGATGGATCTATGTCATAAAAGACAGGCCAAACAGCATGGCCTCCTTCTTTTCTACATTCGAGGATGTGCACAAGCTCATCAAGACACGAAGTGGAGGATGCATAGCCTTTTGAGAGAATGACAACAGAAAACCTTGACTTCTCAATTGCTTGAAGACAATCGGGTCCAATTTCTTCACCACTATTGATCTCATTAGCATCTCTAAACGTGTGGATTCCATCTCGAACCAAAGCAGAATATAAATGGTCTGTGAAACCTTTCCCTGTGTCTGCACCCTTAAAACTCAAGAACACATCGTAATCCCATTTTGATGAGTTGGAGTTGGAGGAAGCCATCGATGGAGATGGGTTTGTGCTTTCTTTGCAGATCTTGCTTTTAGGTTTAAGCTCTTCCGCAATCTGCCCTAGGGCGTTTACTTGTCAGCCCAGGTATCAGATTTTTGAGATGGCCAATGGTGTACTTCTTTAAGGATTTATTACATACAACAGGCACCACCACGCTTGCTCGCATGACCAGGGGTGACAAAGTTGTCGGTGATGGTATAAAAGGGGTAGCTTAAAATAAATTCACCGATTAGTTAAAGTAACTAAATGCTTGTCGTCCTCCTCCTCCTCCGTGTCGATGTGATTCAATTTGTTGCCTATCCACCACGCCACTCTGCTTTTGGACTTCATTTTCTAGGTTCTGATTCTATCTCGTGTTCATTGAGTGAAGTAGCGATGTTACTTTCCTTTATTGGCTTTTGCTGCCTTTCAAGTTGTATGTTCTGTTAAACCATTATCTACGTAAAAAGAGAAAAAGAAAAAGAAAGGGAAGACCTTGCATGTACCTTTTAGAGGGGATGCATAGCCTTTCGAGAGCATGACAATGGAGAAGAGAACTAAAGCAGAATATTAATGGCCTGCGAACCTTTTCCTTGTGTCGGCGCCTCTAGAACTCAAGATAGAGCCCTTTTGAGGTAGAAGCCATCGTTACAGATGGATTTCTGGTTTCTTTCTTTCTTTATTTTTTTCTTAAAAAAGGCTTTGTACAGAACACAAACCCATTGGTTTCTCTAAACAGATTGCTCTGTATTTTCAACCAAGCAGATTAGGTGCCCCAAATAGCCAGATAATAAAATGACGGAAGGGAAATATTTGATTTACAAACGGTTTGTTTTGTTTTGTTAGTAGAACACTTGATATCGTTATGAAGTTTTTTATAACATGGTTTCCAAAGTGGATCAAGCTCGACTATAGAGGGAAATTTATAAGTCTGGTACCCAAAAAAAAAAAAAAAACACTTGAGGAGTATAGAAATTTAATCGACCGAAATGAAAAGAAGGAACAACACTAACAATATTGAGCAACAACTCAGCAACTTGTGTATTAGCCCAACCAAAAAAACGAGGGACTGTTACACTAGAATATTGCCGGGACAACGACTAGTGAACAAGCCCATATCACTGTCATGAACTTCCTATAAAACAAGCTGAATCCCTACAAATTGCGGACGTGCTGTCTGGTTGCATTTCCACGCTGCCGCTTAGAGGAATCTCCCCTTGGACCCGATGGCCCTTGCATGCTGTGCCCGGCTGATGTGGAGCCTTGCAATGTAGGCCTTTGATTAGGACTCCTAGCATTGTGATAACGAGGAGCGGTCTGCTGTGTGCTGTTCTTCAGCGAGCTAAGGAAGCTACTTGGATTCTGACTGATCCCTCTCCTTCCTGAACAGGACTCGTCAATCTCAGTTGCATGGACCATTGAAGTCAGTGACTCCACGGATTCTCCCGGTAATGAAATCCCAGATAGCCCATCATTGGACAGAATACAAGCCGTAGCATTTGTATAGGCCCCAAGAGCAGGAGGAAGTTCTTTGTGAGGATGCGTCACCTTAAAGAAAATGGATGACATCGTCAAATCAGGTTAAACAATAAGGTTTGATGCAGGAGAAGACCTAATATATCAGTGTGTATTGAAACGAATCCTATGCAGACTCAGAAAAGACAAGGAGAAGGAAACTGAATCACGTACTTTGAATAAGATTGCTGCAGATAACTGCTCTCTCAAGCAGTAAATTTGAGCAACATCAAGGGCTGTTGCTCCAAAATAAAGCCACCGATCCACAACAACCATAACTGAATTATCGGGAGAGGACATGATCCTCTCACCCTGTTGAGTGCCTAATTTGCCATGTATCTCCATTCCATCTTCATCACTTTCAGCTCCATCTGCACTATCATAGTCGTCATCATCGTCCTCATCATCCTCGTCATCATTCTCTGCAGGAGCGACTACAATCTCTGTTGCGAGTAGCAATAATGGCAGTGGACCAATGACAGTACAGTTCCTTATGTGCATACCCCCATCTCCACGAGTTATCTCATCATATATAACCAATGGGTAGTCATTAGATTTCCAAAATGATAATTTAAAATTAAGGGACTGAGGGTGCAACCGAACTTTAGCACCGCTAGTAGTCTCCACAACACGCTTTCCATTTTTTGGTGGAAGGAACCTCCCCACCATTGGATACAAACCAGCCACAAGGACAGCATGGACTATACCTGGAACATGCGCATTTGTATTACAACTAGAGACATTTTCTGGAATAAACCCCTTGCGTATTAGTTCTCTCTGGAGTTGTTTACGCATGGCTTGCAGCATATTCATGGTGCTTGAAGAGATAAAGTATTGTGAACAAAACGATGCTTCTTGACCCCTATTCTTCGCATTGTTCCAGCACTCAAAAGCTGCTAAAACTGCTAGCTGATCACTGTGCCCACCATACAATGAAGCAAGCTCAAACTTAGCAGCAGTAGCTCTCTTCTTTTCATTAGGCAGCATAGGAAGGGTAAATGGATCTCTATAATCAGATGCACATGCCAGTGTCAAAGCTGGGTCAAGGCAATTCATCAGAATGGCAAAGAAAATCATCTTGCTCGTCAATGGATGAACAGGTAAGCAACCGATCTTCTCTCCTAGTTCTGTCAATGTTTCATCCACTGATAACGCCCCAATATCTAGAAGAACAGCAACAGCATTGCGTATGGTTTCTGGAACCGGAGGGTCCAATGTCTTTTGCAAGAAATCTTCTATCTTGCAATGGGGATCAAGCAACTTCACCTGTATTGAGGACAAGAGTTAAAGAAGGAAAGAGAAAATAAGCAATCATAAAAGCTTTCACAACCCATGCCTACATTTAAAGATAGAATTTATAGAAAAATTACCTGTAAACAGAGTTCCTCAATTGGCATTCTCTTGATTTCAGGAACTTGGAAATCTGGCAAAGAAGATTCTCTGAGTTTTGAATATAGATGATAACATATTCCAGGTTGACAGCGCCCTGCACGTCCCTCTCGTTGCTTTGCACTGGCTTTAGATACCCAGGACGATTGAAGAGTTGATACATTGTTATAAGGATCGTAACTTTTTTCTTTCATGCGTCCACTATCTATAACATATACCACATCATCAATAGTAATGGCACTTTCAGAAATATTAGTTGAAAGAATGATTTTTCGGCAACCCTGAGGTGGGCGTTTGAATACCTTCCTTTGCTCCACAGATGGAACCATAGAATGGAGAGAGATTATAATAAACTTGGAACCATCTTTAAAAAACGGGTTTGCAAGTAATCTCTCCCGCGTTCTATTTATATCATCCCACCCTGGAAGAAAAACAAGGATAGCACCATCTTTGGAATCAACACATATTTTCTTTAATAACTGCTCTATAAGAACCACATCAATAAATTCAGGATTAATTGTTGCCATATATTTATCAAGAAGTTGCTGTTGTTCCAAGGAATCAGCCAAGGCATTCTGAGCATGTTTTCTTATTACTTCAGCAGCTTCTTCCTGGTTTTCTCGTTCAGCCCATTTCAGTGCTGTTAATCCACACTTGGACTGTAAATTGCAGTTTGCGCCCAAAGAGAGGAGCATGCAAACATCACTGACCCTACCCTTTCCAGCAAAGACCATCAGTGGTGTCAGTCCACTCGCAGAATGCTGATAATCATACACCTTTGGGGTTCCTTCAGAAGAAACCAAATCTAGGAGGGAATCAAATTCATCATTTGACCAAGCCAAGTTAATAGCTTCATCTAAAGCAGCTTTATCTTCCTCTGTTAATTCATGACCTTCATCCAGGACATTTGGCATAGCAGAATCAAGATGATTATTATCTCTGGAATTTAAGATAGAAAGCACATCCTCCAAATGGAAAGCTTTGACCTGAATAATATTAAAAAAAACAACAACAACAATAAATGATAAGATTATTAAGGATAAACAATTTTAACTGACACTCTTGGAAATGATTTTTACAGGATAAGTGAACCCAGGAACACGGATAATTGGGCAGCCACCAAAATATTGTGAAAATCGTTCAGCATCAAGAGTGGCACTCATCAATATCTGTATGTTTGATTATAAGAATACAATAATTAATTGCTAATCAAAATTGTTGAAGATAAGGAAACAATCCTAAAAGCGTTGATGGATCCTTTTAGAATAGAGCATAAAAATTTAAACTAACCAGCCGAAGATGAGAATGTGAAGGAAGTATGTCCCTGCACATAAGGAAGAAATTTCAGAGAAAATAATCCAATAATGGAAAGTGTACAAGCACACAAAGTGATCAAACATACAGTATTGATTCTAAGTATCTCAGAGTTATATCCAATGTAACAAATTTTCCTCAATTGAAAAGATTCGAGTTAAGGCTCAATTATTGTCATAGCTATTAAATTAAAGCAAGATAAAACTGCTTGAAAATTTTAAAATCATATATGTAGTACCTAATAATTGCCAACATGAAATCAGAGAAGCGATCCCTTTCATGAATTTCATCCTGTACAGCAAAAATTGGGTCATTGGTGAGCAACCCATTGCATATAGATGTATTTATGAAGAAAGTTGAAATAATGGGGATTGAAAGAATCATCTGAATTCATGGAATTATTCTGGAAAAGGCAATGCTAGAATCAGAGTCTGCTGAGTGCTGTTTCATTGTTCTGTTTATTATTTACACACACACACTAGACTACAACAATTAACTATTGCCAAGATATAAAACCATCAAACAGAAAATGCTAATCAAACAATGTCACCCCACACAAATATAACATGATCCTAATCAAGTAAGAGACAATGATATTGAAAAGGAAGATTAGGAAGACTGTAGCTAAATACCACAATAATATGAGTTAAGTCGGAAACATTTTCCTTGGCCGCTGTATTAGCCTCATTACGCGACCCAGTGATGCCCTTGGAAACCAGAATCCTCAATAGAACCCCATTTGTACAGAACACAATTGACGAGTGCTTCCCACCTTTACTTTCCAAACGAATCTAATATTTAAAAATTGAGTCAGCAGCAGTACAGTATATGAATGTAGAACCAATTCCATACATAAAATAAGATGGCAATGAAGAATTTAGGATCCAAGGTGAAGTTTGTTAATGGTTGCTATGCATGATCATGTGGGCAAGATTTAATGGATACAATATTCTATTTTCCAGATTTAGTGTTGCACAAACCCCAAGATAAATTAATAGCTCATGGTGAGACATCCACAAACCCCAAGATAAATTAATAGTTCATGTTGAGAAACAATACCAAGGGTAATTCTGGTGAGAAATTAAAATAACCAATCCAAGAAATACCTAACAGTAGGAAATCTAAAATTTTAACTATCAACATAGTTTAACTTGGATCAAATAGCTTGAGCTACCCAGTACCAACCCCAGTGAACTCCTGATGACCATTTTGTTGCCAGGAATAAAAAACAAAAAAAACAGGGAATAGAAATAACAAATTAAGTCTCATTACTGCATT